TTTTCTTTGTTTGACTATTGTACGGGCCATTGTTTTGCCCTTTTTTCTCTACGCTTTGCCCCCGTTGCCATCTCTGAGTACAGGCATCCTTGCCTTGGACAAGAACATGACAGGGTAAATTATTTGAAAGAATAAGAACAAATAACAACAAGCAGGTATTCGTGGTGGATGCGTTTGATTGGGCGGCCTGGCATGTGACTTTACCGAGAGGCAGCACTGTGGTCTTTGAATACTGCCCCCTTATTTTGTTGTATTTATGGTGGAGATATGAAGCTCCAGGGTTGGTATGATGAAAAGCGGCAGGAAATAGTGGATCGAAAATAAAAAACAAATAACCTACAAACCATGCTACAGCCAATGTAGAAAAAAAAATGCTGGTACAACCTTTTCTCTGGAGCACGTGATAGAATCGAGATGCAGGGTAACTGAAACTGTAATAGCAGTAGACAGCAGCCACTGAGCGCTTGACCTGAACTGCTATAACTTTCGATAACTCTGCCAAGGCCTAGCAACCAGTACCTGCAACTTTCCAGCCATGCTATGACAACAGTAAGCAACGGTCGAAATCATGACCATGATCAGCGTCCGGCCATTTGACGGTAGGACTATGTCCTTTATTAGCGGGTTCAAAATAAGTTACACTTTCGCAGAATAGTTCACTTCTCTACAGAGAAAACGCGTACAAACAACGCGTGAGTCTTGCTGCAAAATATGACATGACCCTAGCTGCATCACTGTACTTAAAGAAATATGCCAGGAAAAGACCACCTAGAGAATACCACAAGGTGATTAGCAAATAGCTAAGGTAACATGATATCCACAGCCTACTAAGGATATACGTGTGGGACCACCCGATTCTAGAAAAGGGGAATCTGCGCACTTTCCCCGCGGGTATTAACTCGAATTAAACGATTAATTCCCATTTCCTGTGTGGAAGCATTGAACACAGGGGTATGACAGAGCAACGATATGGCAAACAGCAACTACATTTCGACTCCTGGGTTTTCACCGCTGTGGTTTTCACTGCTGTTGGTTGCCCTGTATCATGATGTGAACGCTCTTTGTGGATCAAGGACATACAGCGCCAGTACAGTAAAGAGCACTTTCTCGTATATGAACTACCAAAACAACGAGATTTGCCATATCACCATACAGCCTTCTTACAGCAGAGGTTACTACTTAGAGATTCGCTGGGATCAGTTTGATGTAGAGGGGTATATGCCATCCTGTTCACACGACTATATCGAAGTTTTTCTTACATTGTAAGTTTCCTTTATGTTTGAGAATCCTTGTCTTTCAGAAAGATTTCTTTCTAATGCCATAAAGATTACGCAAAAATTGAAAAAATATGTCTTTGATCAATTTTCTGTTGGAAGCATTTTCGTGCAACCTTCTCGGGGAAGCGAGCGGCACTGGGGGCACGTGTGGGCACAAAGGGTACCTTAAAGAGCTGCAAGTAGGCACTTTTCCTCTGGTTCTGAAAAATGTGGGTGTGTGCCCCCCCTTCTCCTACGTGTATATCTCAGGTCATTAGGCCCTCGTCAGTTATGATCTGTGATGCGGGTTTGGGGAGTCGGGGGCTAAATCAAATTTTAAATGCAAAATAACTGAAGTTAAATAAAAACAAATATAAGAAACCAAATTAATTGACAAACACAAGATTTCAAAAGAAACAGCAGAGGAACTGTATTGTAAGATGATTTCTTAAGGAGGGGCTCTCTTAGTAGCTAGGCTAATCGAGGAAAGAGCACCCCCTGTTTAAAGTTGATTGGCTATTTTTTGAAATATTGAAAGAATTCTTTTTAAAAATTTCGTATCTAATTTCGGATGGAGGCTGAGAGGAAATCTTTCATGATCTGTAATTGTTATCAAAGAAAATTTTTTGAAGTTTACAATGAAAACTACGGGCAGGTGGTGAATTTTTTTTCTCCAGAGGAATGTTATTCCAGCATTTAGCTCCAAAGTAACGAACTGAGAGCGGAAACCATATTGAAAATTTTTCCGACTTAAATAAATAAATTACTGGTTGCTTGCCATGTATGATATTTGTGAACGGTTTCAATTAGGTCAAATTCTCAGAGACAAATACTTGTTTTGACCATTCTAGGGTCCTCAGAGACAAATACTTGTTTTGGCCATTCTAGGGTCCTCAGAGACAAATCAAGACCTTGTAATTCTTGATGCATAAAGAAGGTCGTCTGTTACTAGGGTTATTAGTAATGGAAGAATGACTAGGAGCAAAAATAATAACATTCTGGTAGTTGTATGACCATTGACCTTAGAGGCATTTGAAAAGTGGTAGGGAACATATTAGCAAAAAATGGGGCATCTTCGTGTACGGCCAATTGGCACCCAGGCTATACCGTCCATCACTGGTGTCTAACCCTGTCATAAATGAAGATTTTGAATTCATGCAAAATATTTCTATTATTTTTTCTTTTAGACAAAGTAAATCCATTGGAAGGTACTGTTCTGATAACATTGGAGTACAGAAACTCTTCAAAATGTATTCTGCTGATGGCTATGCTAAGATTTTCTTCAAGACGGACAGCAGTATCACCAGAAAAGGCTTTCAGTTTACTTACCAGCTGAAGAGTTACAGCAGCGGATATCTGGGTACATATGGAAGGGATAACTGCTATTAGTGAGTAAACCATGTTGGATTTTGTTATCCTTTTTTGGTTACTTCGGTCCCCTGTCTTTTACTAAGCATTTTCTAAATAAGCATCGTCATTACTCACACTCCCATCATCGTAATGTTAGGAAACGGAGAAATACCGATACCGATCTTTCGCTACCCTTACGGAAAACAAACAATGGGCAGAGAGCTATTTCTTTTCGTGGACCTAAGCTTTGGAACCAACTTGAACCTGATGCCAAACAGGCACCTTCTCTTGCCACCTTTACAACCACGTAGCTGTAGGTGTCTGCTAGGGGGGCAAGCTTGAGCAAGAACCATACCTGAGGGGGGCAGGCTTTAAAACAAGAAAACAGATATATAACAAACATATTTATTTGGACAAAATCAAGGTCATGGAATTATAAATATGCTAAATTTTCAAAATATCATTTGAAAAAACTGTAGCCAAAGGGGGCAAGCTGTTGACAAAATTTTCATTTGGGGGGCACAGCCCCCCTGCAGCTACGTGGCTGCACCTTTAAGAGAAGAATCTAAAACTAATGAACGACCATTCCTATTTCGTAGTATCTATCTCCTTACTTATTAATGTTTTTGTCACGGCCCCCTGAAAAGCAGTTCTCATGGACTGACGGGGCTACCGTGCCTGCCTGAATAAATAAAAATGATATGAAATAAAATCGTACTCGTTGTCTCTGTCAATTCTATCATTGTACTAAAATGGTCATTCCCTGATGGCTCCAATAAGATTCTTCCTTTATACCTAGTGATATCGACTCCAAATATGCTGGAATATTCTATTCGTCTGGTTGGCCTAAGGGGTACACCAAAGGAGATGCCTGTACCCATAGTCTAAATGTGGCTGAGAAAAGACATACGCGCATCGCAGTTATGGATCTCAATTTGCGCAGTATCTCAACACCGTGCAATAGTAGCAGTGACAATGTTGTAGCTCGAGGTAACATTTTCTCGCAGTACAGATTTCATTATTACAATCCAGAAATAAGGGGAACACTCTTCAAAGGACAAAGTTGTCACAACAGTTAGGTCTTTCGTAGACATTGTGACTCCAGATATACACGTTTTTTTATAAGAAACCGGTTTTAGAACTAAATCAATATTTTAAGAAACTCCGAAAGAAAAGGGGACTTTTTGGGCCGGAAAATAATAAGTCAACAATCCATTTTTGCTTGGTTTAAATTTGCCAGCACATTTTTATTTAGAGTTACACAGGAAGTTGAGTCTACTTGTAGTAGCAGGTGGGTGTCCGATAACTTTGCCATGAAATACTTATAATGAACAAGAGATACGATATCAAATCTTACTGTTGTGTTATAAACTTTAATGCAATTAATATGCGAGGGAAAGCGCAAAAATTGATGTTAAATGCTTATCTAAAAATAAGCAAACTTGTAAGAAACTTTTAGTACTAGAAACTGGTAAAAAATTAAGAAACTTTTAGTACTAAGACCAAAGCTAAATTTCTTTTAAAAAACGTGTATCTTATTGACTGATGGTTATAACGCTCTGGGTCTTGATTGCTCGAAAAAGACAGGGTTCAAAAATTACGAAAATTTTCCGTGTATCAAATACTACCCTGGGTACCATAAAGGAGAAGCGGAGGCTTAGAAAGCAGCTCCTCCGCTCCTATCTTCTATTTCCGCTCTCAAATTTATTTGGCTCTGGTACCCAGGGTAATCCGAAACTAGAATACGCTAAATAATACTACTCCTAAATTCAAAATAGATTATATCTAAATAATATCTACCCATACTCAATAGAAAAAATATAACTCTTTAATATACCACAGGGTTTATTTTAAGGAATTTTTATCGCTGCACATTTTCAAAACTTTTATGACAACACCTAAGTACCTAACTGTTTGTGAAATTATCGAATTACACCAGCTCTCATCCAAGCTTTACAAGAGATTTCGACGAGGAACAGTGGTCTAGGTTTAAACAAGTTTTCGAGAACAAAGATATCAAAGGAAAAAACAAACTAGATAGCTTCTAGATGCTGAATGCAATAAAATTTTAGAGAGTTTTCATAGATTATTATCATTGTTACTGTTGTATTCTCGTTTTTAATATTGTAATGCTCTTTTATAAGCTTTATGTGTCTACTAGTGTTTGCTGCAATTTTACCTTTCACTAGCAAATCTCTTTCGTTTTTAGCTTTATCAGTGCACAAATGTTCAATTAAATCTCTTTTCATAGTAATTGAAATCTTGTCTAGATCGGACTGTTTATAAATAAGGACGGAAAGAAGCATCTTCTGAAAGTGGCGTTGTTAAGTGTTCAAAAGGGCGTGGCCTCCAAAAAATTTCAGTGCCACGCCCCGGGCTCTTCACTTTTAGTCTGGTGCACGGTCTCTGCTTATAGCAGTATTATTGAGATTTACTGTAACAAAGAGCATGACTTCCTTAAAAGCTCAAGGGTAAATTATGATCACCTGAACCTTTTAATTTACGTAAAGGAGTCGTTTTTAAAGGCAGTCGGTCCCCTATTGTGCTCAACCCTATTTTCACGGGAGTGGAATTCACACACCGTTGAGCTTGATCGATAATTAAACGATTTAAACCAATCAGAGACAACTTTGTTTCTAGAGCTTTTGAAAAAAATGGCTGTGTTCCCGTTGTAGTGAAGCTGTGGCTTGAAAAATTTGGTTCCCTGTTTTGTTTCTACTACAGATATGTCAACAGGGAAAAGATGTTTCAATTATTATCATTCAATTCCAGAAATTAAATCTTCTTGCCATTTCCGATAGCCTTTTGCTCGTAGTTTCAAATGTCGTACACTACCGCAGCTAGGCCAGCCAAGGCGAGCAGGGTGATCCATTAGGCCGGGATAAGCTATGGTTCATATTAGCCAATCATTGAGAGGACAGACTGCCTTTAACAGGATGTACTCAAAAAATGGTCTTACCTGCTGTTGTTAAGCAATTATTTTAACTTGTGTCGTATCCAAAAAAAATATTTCATTTCTTCCTCCGCAGAGGCGTAGCGTCCCAGCGGTAACTGTTTCACCCCCGTCTTCACCTCTTAGGTCCCAGCAGATCACAGTTCACAATCATATTTTGGAACCCCTGCATATGTGGGTGCTTGAAAATAAACACAGAATTTATTCGCATTCAGTTGGCACCTACCTCAAAATTAACCTTGTCTATATATTTTTTCATATTCGCAAGCTCACTGTGTCATTCAGGCAATGTGGTTGCTTCAAATACTGAAGTCATCATTTAACCATTGTTACAACTATATATTTCTTACTCTAGAATCATCTGCGTATTATTCGTCTCTGCTTAGTATAATTCTCTTCGGAACTGCTGTGACAAAGACACTTTGCTCAACGTGGCAACCCGGAATTGCAACAGCTACCAAGCAACATACATATATCACGTTCACTAGACCACTCGGCTCCTACCCGACATACACAGAAAGAGGCTTCATGATTGGTTACATCAGCTATAGTAAGTATAAAAAATCAATCTTTCTAGCTATCTTTTATTGAATTTCTGTTCATTTTAAGAAAAGAGGCTTGCATAAAGATACGTAGGAACCAGGGGGATAGGTTTAAGTTTCTTTTGCAGCTCACGGAAGAGCCCCTTTCTTGCCCCTCCCCCCCAATTTCAAATGCTTCCTACGTATTTGCTTACACCAACTTACTTACGAGTCGCAAATTATGTACCCCTATACATTTCAGGAGTATGGAAATATATCTATTATAATTGCTAGAAAATAAAAGTTTTGTTGTTTTTTATATATTTTACCTATCAAGCTTACTATATCATATCTACAAAGCAGGCCAATCTAATTCAATCGATAGTTAAACGAATAAATAAAAAAATAAATAGATAAAAAAATAAATAAATGAATAAATAAATAAATAAATAAATAATAAATAAATAAATAAATAAATAAATAAATAAATAAATAAATAAATAAATAAATAAATAAAATAAATAAATAAATAAATAAATAAATGTTCATAAAAAGTACTTTGACAGTATTATAGCTAAAGGAATATATAAAAGCTAACTTTTAGAGACATACTGGCAAGCATTGCATTTACAGTTTGTACCATCCCATATTTTCATCAATGTCTGATGCTACTTAAGTTTTTTGCGTATTTCATCTCATTCTGTAGTCCATTCAAAATTTGAGATCCCAATGACTGTAGGATTTTAGAACCAAAGGTTTCTTGGTTTATTCTCTAATGGCGTACATCATTTAAATTCCTTGACGAATAAGTAGAGGATCTAATTTTGAGAACGTTACGCATGAAAGATGGATTTAGATTTTTTAATGTTTTGAAAATTTCAATGCAGAGAACTTTTATAGAAGAAACGTGCACTGTACACCTTTCTGACTTCACAATTACCGTAAAAGCTCTATTTACCACCACCCCGGGGGGCTTGTCTGATTTTCAGTCCTAGAGGGAGGCTTAAAAGAGAGGGGGCTTTTTAGAGAGGGGCCTTATTAGAGAGGGAGCTTATTAATAATTCAATGTATCGAAATGTTAAAAGGGCCCTTATGCATTTTTGTCCTGAAAATTTTATACAAATTTTCTCAAAAAACATTGCTAGCAGCTCTGAAAGTTTCTTAAAATCTATCAATTATAATCAATTGATAGCCACTGGGACATCTTTCAAGGCGCACAAGTAAATCTTACATGGGTCTTATTTAATGCACACGATCATATAATCATAACACCCGTCAAGAGACCCAATCAATGCGCATGTTTCTTTGTTTGACTATGGGGGCGAAAGAGTGGGTGCTTATTTTAAATGTTTGCTTGATAAGGGGGCTTAATAGAAAAGGGGGCTTAAAAAGAGGGGCTTTATAGAGCTTCTGCGGTAAGTCATTGTAAGAGGCGAGCAAGGACACGTTCTTGAGTCTTTTCAATTTTTGCAAATATTTAGCTGATGAGAAGAATTATACAAGAAGATATCAAAATTTGTGTACACAAAGCTTTGGATAAGAATTGTTAAGTTGTGATGCAGCTTTTTGCAAAGTTCAGGGACATTTTGACAGTTTCTTCCGACTTTATCAGTTTGCCTTGGAAGTTTTTTCCTCAAATCCAGCTCTTTCTCCAGTACCTCATCAAATATGTGAATATTACAGGAACTGATGAATATTTTGCTATTTTCTATTTTACCTTGCCCCTGTAAATTCGAATTTCCTTTTCCACCGAAGCAATGTTGGATTTGCAGTTCAATAATTTTTGCTTCAAAATGATGCATTCAACATTGAATTGGGGGAGGGGAAAAAGCTACTTTTCAAAGGAAAGAGAAAACATAAAGTTCTCTCGAAAAGTTTCAACTATTTTCGCCCGGGATTATAGGTTTTGAAAATTTATGAATGGCTCAGTCGTTTCTGCAGTGTATTGATTGCAGTAAATATAATGAGAACCCATAATTCGAAAAGGAAAAGCTTTATAAAATTATTTTTAAAATGTCAATGTAAGAAAATATTAATGTTCTTTTAAATGTTTTTTTTCTCACTGTTTGTGAATTTTTCAGTTTGCAGCTGATAAAGCTGTATGAACTTCTATGCATGTTATTAAGAAAAGTAGACAAACTACAATTTTCAAACCATTTTCCAACAATAAGATTACAAGCTGTTGTCTAAACTCTACCCTGGGTACCAGACTCACTATATATGAAATAAAATAGAGATTCATATAGTGACTCTATTATTTTATATAGTGAGTCTGGTACCCAGTTTATCTAAACTCATGCATTCAGGAAAAATACATTTTATTTGCCTCAGGCACAGACATATGTTTTCAAAATCCTTGCATCAATGGCGGAACATGCGTTGCATCTGGTAATTCACGAAGTTGCAGCTGCCCTCCAGGATTCACCGGAGTTCTCTGCCAATTTGGTAAGGACTTTATGCAATGTAGGATTGTGTTTTATTTAGGTAACTTAGTACCTTTATTTTGTTTAGAAACCATAATCAAAATCGTGCCAAGTTACCTAAATCAAGCACCGCGAAGCGTTGAGAAAAGTGGGAGGGTCTAAAAAGTGGGGGGGCTAAAACCGTATAAAAAGAGGCTTTACTGGTAGTTTATTACTTAATATTTGGCATTTTTTGCAAAAAGTGGAGGGGCTAAAGCCAGCCCAGCCACCCAGCCCCAATGCCCCAGCCCCCAGCCCCAATGCCCCCAGCCACACCAGCCACCCAGCCCCAATGCCCCCCAGCCACCCAGCCACCCAGCCCCCCTAATCTGCGGTGCCTGTAAATAGAACTTGTCGTATAACACACGGGATCTAATCAAATCATTGACCTATAATACCAGTGACCATAAACACAATGTAGGATTGCTTGGGCTCAAGATAATGTAGAACAATATTTCTAGATTTTGAGGGAGATGAGCACAGGAAAAATCCCGCTATTCCTGGGTTGACGGAGCCAGGAGCACCAGGGGCATGTCCCCCAAAACCTGTACCCACACAACTTTGATTCCAACATCTCTGCGCTACTCTTTATTCATTTTTATCGAGCCCATCTCTATTTTCTTAAATGGACGGCAGTAGAATTTTATGATATATTTATGCTTAGAAGGGTGTGGCACTGCCACTCCGGAAATGATCCGCGGATCGGATCAGATCGCGTTGTTCTTTCGATCCGCGAATCGTTTCAGATTCGAATGCACGTTGACATTATCTCGACGGGATTCGTGCGATTCGTGCTTCATGACGCAAGTGCCCTATTGTTTAAAAAGTTCCAATTCGATTTTGATCAAAAGAAAACAACTGTACCGGAACGGTTCAAAAAAAAGTTGAAATGATTTCAACTTTTTTTTCGATCCGTTTCGATCCGCATTACATTTTACAGCATACTTAAAGCGTTTTTGCCTCAGAGTATAGAACTTCAGAATCATTTCGACCCTTATTCTGTTGCAAAATGTTTGCTTTGTCAAAGCCATTTTCATGAGGAATTTACTGTCATCACGATTCATCAAGACTGTCTTCCTTATAATGAAATAAAGCTCGCGTCTTGAAAACGTTGGGTGATTGTGGTCTATATTGAGACAATTCACATTGAGACAAAAAACAGATTGAGACAATTCAGTTATTAGCTGTTTCAGCCTGGATTTTTTTCCAAACTGTGCTTTTTACTTTTGAGGACCTCCCAGGGGGGGTACTTGCTTCCGTGTTCCCTTTAAAAACAACCAATGTTCTCGTGTTCCCCTTGAAAAACAAAAAGTGAGTAATAATGTTTCCATGTTACCAGCAGAAAATTTGAGCTGTTACCGTGTTACTGTACCATTTGTTGCCATGTTCCCTTATTCCTGAAAACCCCTGGGAGACCCTCACTTTTCTCACATGATCGATTAGTATGGTTTTTACTAAAAATTCTCTGATAAAATCTGAGTTGAATATGCAGCTCTGGCATCTAGGGTCGAGGGGCAAATTACTCCCAAAAATCTCGTACACCTTTGGTGGAAATCCTTTTGTTTTATCTGGAAATCACCAGAAATCCTATTGTTTTATCTGCAAATCACCAGAAATCCTATTGTTTTATCTGGAAATCACCAGAAATCCTATTGTTTTATCTGTAAATCACCAGAAATCCTTTTGTTTTGGGGAAAGTATCGTACGCTATTTGCAAGAGTGAATTGCCCCTCGTCTAGGGTAATATGGCCTATGGTTTAGAATTTATCACAAAAAGCTTCACATCGCAGAATAATCGTCTTTTTAAAATGGCTTTCATAATAAGTAAACTTTGCGAAGCATTATTAAGTTTTTCATCTTATACGCTTCATAGTACGTCAGAACATAGACCGAAAACTCTATGCTAGGAAATATATATACCCAGTTGTGGATCGACAAAGGCCAATCAGAAACACGAGCACGTGAGGGTAAAGGTTGCCAATCAGTACTGCGTGCCTACTGAAAACATTACCAATAGAGTTCATATTGGGAAGGGCCGCCTATTATATTGCTCCCTTTTTTAGTACACTATTTTCAAGAGAACATAGTAAAGTTCCACAATTATTGAGGGACTTCAGCCCCCCAGCCCCCTCCTATTTCCCCCGCTTCCGACAACCTTGAATAAGCATACACGTTTTTTATAAGAAAGTATTTTATAAGAAAGTTGTGCTCGGTTCTTCAAAAAGTTAAGAAATTTCAGGGCTGGAGCTTTGAAACCGAAGGAAGTTGAAATATTTAGATATTCAAAAGGAAATTGTGGTGTAAGAGTGAAATATTTCAACAATACAGTAATGTGCTGAACAGGAAACGACGAATACAGTATGACGTTGAGGGTTTTTGAGAAATATAGCATATTTACAGCATTTCATCTTCTCCATCACTGCGCAGGCTTAGTATCGTAAAACTTTCCAATTTTACGTTAAGAAAGTGTTAGGAAAGTTTTAGCGCCGAAATTGGGAAATAGCTAAGAAAGTCTGAAGGCTGGGCTTAAAAATAAACTTTCTTATAAAAAAAACGTGTAGCTTCTCAGTATCATTGCCTCCGGAGAAACAAAAAAGTATTCCTTATGTCTATAAAATTGCCGTTTTCACTGTTATGTAGATGGTGTCTAAACCTGCTAATGGGAACGACGACCAGGCTCTGCTTATTATGTGAAACATGTCACCGTTATAGTTTTTGACACACTCGTTTTTTTATCTTTTAAGGAATAGATGAATGTACAAGCAATCCATGTCAGAACGGAGGAACGTGCGCGGACAAAATAAATGGATACAATTGTACGTGTACATCTGAATACAGTGGCAAGAACTGTGAGACAAAAAAGGGTATGCATATCAAATATCATTAAAAAGGAAGGAAAAGTCAGGGGGTAACCAATATTCTATTTTGCCTCTTCGCAGAATATAGGCTCAATTTCCTAAGCACAGTTTGTGATTCCTCAGTTATCCAAACTTTTGAGTTCTGAAATTTTGAGTTCTGTTCAGCGCATAGTAAAGCAGCTTGAAAAGGAATAAAGTCACTAATCGTGGGAGAGTCACTAGAAATGTACATTAACATATTCGCTTTCCATTTGCTGTAATATTCGTTATCTACGTATCCAAGCAGGTTTTGTTCTATGGGTCTATTCATATCATTATGCAGCTCCTCATTGACTTGATGCCTTAGCTATGGTCTTGGCGAACCCCCACATGCGGCCCGTCTACTTTCAAGTAAGGGGTCTGGTACACAGGCTACCCGTCGCTTGCTTGTGCTCAAGGGGGCTTTCCAAGTCCAATTTGCTGCCAAAATGGGTGACATTGGATCCGACACGTCCAAGGGAAAATTTAACACCCGATACCAAAGATTTTGAAACAGATTTTTTCTGGCAGAAAATTATGGGACCATGGCCTCCCTGGCCCTCCTTTCGTCGGAGACCCTGGGAAATTTGCCGACTTGGTATTACTAGATGGCAAAACACAACACGCCCCTTATAGCGACGGGCCTGCCCCTAATATTAGGACTTTAGCCAACAAGCATCCACAGCTTGCGCCTTGCAGTTATGCCTTCATCCTTATCAAAATGGAACATGATCTTTGACATGGTATTATATCTATTGCAGATTCAGGGGACACACTGACCACCATACTAACTGCAGTTTTTGGAGGTACAGGGGGATTGTTAATATTATCTTTCATTAATTTCATTGTTGGCTTGATAAAGAGCCATAAAGGAGGTGAGGAAAGAGGTTGTTGTACAATATTTTGTACATTTAATATAAACACAAAAAAACAGGATGACTAGCGATAAAAAGGGGTTGAAAAGATCATTCTTGTGAGATCGCTGTATAATTAATTACACAATATTTTTGTCAGCTTTTCTTAAAATATACTCGATAACCCCACGTTTTGAATCCACCTGTCGAATTTTTTAGTAACAATTTAAAGGGCACCTATCACCATTTTAACGACCATCGTCTTTCCCACAGGCCGGTGTCATATGCGTTTCGGTAACCTTATGCACTTCGGTCCAGGTACACAAATACTGGTTATGCATGATAATTTTGGTTATGCAAAAACGTACTCAAGCACTTGAACAATAGGGTGCCAAAACGAATGATGGAATTTAGTATGCAAACCTGTCTGGGACACAAATGTTCTGGATCATATTCTTCAGAAAGGAAACCCTTGTTAAGTTTATGCAAAAAAGTAAAACATTAATGGTGACTCAAAAGTACATATAATGATGAAATCACAGGATTTGAAACACATTGCGTTTCACAACGTTACACTTTTGCATAGGGTACCGAAACGCATATTACACCGGCTTTTATCCTTATCATTTATCACCATGTATGGTTTCCTCAGTGGCAAATTTAAATGACATGTGACACACTTTTCACCCTATCTTTTCTTTTCATTAACTTATAGATCATCATTAGAAGTAAGTTTTTCCTGGTTTAGAACAAAAAATTCTAATCAGGGGGCGCAGGGGGCGCAATTTTGCTTTTTATCACGTGACCCTATGACGTACATTGTGATAACTTGGAATTTTCCTGTCATTAATAGAGAGTTTACGAAACACAACGCGACAGGTCCAGACGAACTGAATTCGTTTAGAAGCGTGTTGTAAACGTTACCAGTAGCAGTATACCAGTAGCAGCAATAACAAATTATCACAATCTACGTCACGGTGTCACGTGATTCATTTCCCGCCATAATTTGAAAAGGGTTTTTAAGAAGAAAAATGAAATCAGAAAGGAAAAATATTTCAACAACACTCAGCATTTTACTTTAAGTTAAAAGAAAAAGAAAATTCGCAAACAATCTTTTGGTGGTACAAAACTTGTAAATAGCTTTGAAAAAAGCAAACATTTAGTAAACTAAAGCTTTTCGTCTGACACTCTTCAGAGTTTAAAACGTCAGAACATAGATCGAAAACTCTACGCTAAGAAATATATATATCCAGTTGTGGATCGAAATAGGCCAATCAGAAACACGAGCACATGACTGTAAAGGTGCCCGGTCTATCTAAAACTACCTTGGATCGGTAACAGCTCCCTACGTTTTGAAAGCCAAATAAAACAGGCCATAACAAATTGTTTCTTCGCGGTTAACCTACGTGTTGTTTACAGTACAAAAAAGGCCCTTCCGTCCATTCAAAAGGACTGCGTTCCTGCCACAAAAAAAAGTTATGTGGTGTATGAATTCACGTGCCAGTGTGATTCTGGCTACGTAGGACGCACCACCCAAAGATTGGAGGATAGGATAAAACAACACGTTCCATCTAATATTAGAAACAAAACACATCCCCAAAGAGAACAGCCATCTCGGTCTTGCAAATCCAAAATTAACAATAAAACCTGCGATTCTGCTATCGGGCAGCATTTGCTAGAAAACCCAGATTGTGCAAAAAACTATAATGGCGACATGTTTCGGATTATTGGTAAAGCCCGATCGTCGTTCAACCTAGCAGTTTTAGAATCTATCTACATAAGCACGAAAAAACCGCTACTGTGTAGACAAAAGGAGTTCGTTGTCACCTTAGGACTCCATTGGTAACATTCTAATAGGCAAGCGGCACTGATTGGTCAACCTTTACAATCATGTGCTCATGTTTCTGATTGGCCTATTTCGATCCACAACTGGGTATATATATTTCTTAGCGTAGAGTTTTCGATCTATGTTCTGACGTTTTAAACTCTGAAGAGTGTCAGACGAAAAGCTTTAGTTTACTAAATGTTTGCTTTTTTCAAAGCTATTTAAAAAGAAAATTTGGCGCCAAAAGCGTGTCACTTGTCCTTTAAGGGGCAAGGACTTTCTCTAAGTGGAACTAACTTATCATTCACATCGGATGTCTTTACCTTATTAAAGTCGAAAATCGTACCCCGGATAACTCGGACATTTACTGAATCAGACTAGTTTTTTATTCCATCCAGTTTTTTTAGCTTATTCAAGAGAAATGTCGAATCCCAGATAAATCAGAAATTTGCTAAGTGTCCTAAGTTGGACGAAGTAGTAACTAAGAACTGGGTACGACACTACAACCTTTATTTTTGTCTTCTTCGGTAAATTTTGCTTTGATTCGATAAAAAGCAATTTTTGGTAGTCAGTAGTGGCAAAATGACGTAGGAAAATTGCTTTATTCACCTTCTTATCCACTTTACTTTAGAGTTAAAAACTGAATTTTAAAATATTTAAAAAAGAGCGTTTCCATCACTTTCCGATCACATGAATCGTGTGGCATTAGAACCAATTACCAATTATTATCTAACCCCCCTAACGTTGGCGATTTTTAGCAATGTGTAAAAAGTCGCTCAATTTTTTAGTAGACTAACCATTTGCATTATTTTAGTCTATTTGTAAGGTAGTTTGATTTAAATTCAGAAACGGGCACAATTAAATCTCAAAATATTTGTTTTCTTTCACCTTCTCGGCCTTTTTATCAAACTTCACATGATATATTCTGAGAATTGCATACAAAGACTATGATTCTAGCTTCAACACTCTGCTAGAAAATGATGGCTCGGTAAATATTCATGTAAAACACCTGCGCAATCTTGTGATTGAAATGTTTAAAACAAAGGGAAATATCAACCCTCCTTTTATGAGGGAGATTTTCTGCGAGCGTCATGCTGTTTATAATTTGAGAAATAATAATGAATTTATGGTACCAAGAGTAAGAACAACCATTTATGGAACCAAAACTATCAAATATAGAGGGCAGCGTCTTTGGCTCTCTTTATAGTTTTTTAATGGATCATTTTGTACTTAAAATCTTATGTATTTAATCTCGTATGTATTTAGTTGATGTAGTAGTTTTAACAGTTGGCTTGGATTAGCTCATTTCTTTGTAAATAGCTATGTAGTGCCAACTTTAAATAAATTGATTATTATTATTATTATTATTATTATCACAGAACTCCTAACGCAAATTGATTCTTTACCTCTCCATCCAAAGAATAAGCTGCTTCTTTATAACAGCTATCTTCTCTCACAAGTTTCGTGGCACCTCACAGTAGCCGATCTATCAAAAACCTGGATCGTCGAAAACCTTGATAATCAAGTTTCTGCATTTATCCGCCGTTGGCTCGATCTACCCATAAGTGCTACTTTAAGTGGCATTATTCTGTCAAAAAACCAGTTCGGTCTTAACTTGATTCTTCCTTCTGTTAAATTCATGCAGTGTCAAACTGTTTGTCGTAATGCACTGAAATCCTCTCCCAACAAAAACATCCAATCTTTGTGGAAAAATACCAGCCAGAGCATGAACATCCAATATGATGTTTACAGGAATACTAGAAAAGTATTGAAGGCTGTTAGATCAGAACATAAAGAGCGCCTTCAAACCATCTTGTATCTCAAGGTACCGTTCTTTCCTTCATCTTTGACCACTCTCTTCCTATAGCCTCTAAAATATGGACCACGGTTCAAAGCAACATGCCCAAGAACATTTACAGTTTTACTATCAAATATCTTAGCAACTCCCTTGCCACGCGAAAAAACCTATCTAAATGGAACATTACTCAGTCGTCCGATTGCTCTTTTTGCCATATGCCAGAAACGTTACTTCACATTGTTGCAGACTGCAAAACATACCTCGAAGAAGGCCGTTACACATGACGCCATAACTCTGCATTGAACTTCCTAGCACAATCTTTAAAAGCTATACCTAATTGCTCTCTTTACGCAGACCTTTCAGGTTATCTCTCACCCTCTATCATAACAGGAGACTCTTTCCGTCCTGATCTACTTCTAGTCACTTCTGACCATCGACTATTCATACTCGAGCTTACAGTAGGATACGAAACTAACTTGGATGTTAATGCTAACCGCAAAAAAGAGAAATACTCGAATCTCATTCACAGCCTAAGCTCAGCCTATTCTTCTATCATGTTTGTTAATCTTTCTATCAGTTCCCTAGGTATCTTTGGTCTCTCTTGCTCCTCTTTCATCGACATGTGCAACGCTCTAGATATCAGCGAGAATCATCTCCGCTTCATGATCTCCAAACTATCCAACTTAACTATCCGTACTACCTATTAAATTTTCTGCCGCAGAAATAAATCTTGGAATAATCCTGAACTTCTCCAATTCTAACGATCTCTGCTACTGACGACTTCTAAAACAAACAATGACGAACACACTTTTTCCTTCTTTTTTTTTTGTTAATTTCTTTTGTTTGTGCTTGTAATAGTCTTTTTCTTTGTAAACCCAGGCTAGCCAATTGCAAATTACCTTTGTAATAGTGAAATTTATAATTGTAGTTTTAATTGAATTGAAAATGAAAAGTTTCCATTATTATTATTATTATTATTATAATAATTATTTAACCATTATTATTATCATTATTATTTATTTATTTATTTATTTAATTTATTTATTTATTTTATTTATTTATTAATTTAATTAATTAATTAATTAATAATAATAATCAGACCTATCGAAGACCTGGGTCATTGAGAACCTTGATAATCTTGTCTCTAAATACATTCGCCAGTGGCTTGATCTTCCCATAAGTGCTACTTTAACTAGTATAGTTCTTTCTAAAAATCAATTTGGTCTCGATCTTCAGCTACCTTCTGTCAAATTCACTCAATGCCAAACTGTTTCACGCAATGCCCTCCGAACTTCTCCTAACACAAACATTCAAGCTTTTTGGAAAAACACCAGTAGTGGGATGAATCTGCAATACGACATTTACCGTAACACCAAAGATGTACTGAAAGCAGTAAAATCAGACAGTAGAGAGCGCTTGGCATACCAATTACTATCCCAGGGTGCTATTATTTCATTTCTGTTGGACCACACTCTTAAAAAGCTCAATGGTCTTTGGTCTGTTGTGCAGAGCAACCTACCCACGA